GTCGATAAAAGAGACTGTGACTCCATAAACACTCAAAAGACAAGACACCCATCTGTTGCAGGCATGCAAAGTGTTCCGATTTGTCCACGTTTTGTACGGGCAGCTGCCATATGTTCAGCTGCTCCAGATTATCAGTAAAATGTATTATTATTGTTTTGTTCAGCGCTTTGTTACAGCTGTTATGAAAGCGCCATATCAATCAGCATGTATTGTATTGTATTATTATCATAATAATTATTATTATTATTGTTATTATAAGTCTGAAATTGTCTGAACTGTTTGCTTGCTTAGTTCACTTGGGCCAAAAGGTGCATGGCGAAAGATTAGCGATATTGTGATGTAAGCATGCCCCTTTCTTTAGATCGTTATTTTCATGTGTGGGTATTGTGCTAGGGCAGCCCGGTGATCGAGTGGTTAGCGCGTCGACCTCACAGCGCAGAGGTCGTTGGTTCGATCCCGGCTCCGGCCTTCCTGTGAGGAGCCTGCATGTGTGGGCCTGTGTGAGTTTTCTCCAGGTACTCCGGTTTCCTCCCACATGCCAAAAAAAAAAAAACATAACCGGAAGAGCGAAGGTGTCACGATGACAATTTAGCAATGCGAGGTGCGACCTCATTGCAAGGTTGTCAGGAAGGCAGTGGGACATGGCTAACCTACTTTATCTCATCACGCCCGCTGTCTACCTTCAGTTCCGTCCTCCTCTTCCTCACCCTCCCTGTCTCTTGCTCCTCCCTGATAGCTTTTACCGCTCCGCTGATCGCACAAATAGGCCTTATTGATTGAATCTGATTCTCGTGGATGGAGCAGCTTTATTGAGTGGCGTCCCCCCCCCCTCCCTCCCCTCCCCCCATTGATGGACAGGAGAGGGAAGGGAGAGGCTTGCTTGTACATGCATGTGCGCATGTTAGGCAGACGAAAGGATAACTTCCTCTTCTAATCTGGCTGTCTCGCTATCTGCTATTCCGCACCGCTCTCTGGGGTATTTGAGCTCGCAGATCATTACAGACACACTCTCCTTTTTTTTTTTTTTAGCGTGAATGTTTTATAGCTAGTGAATCCGTAGCGAGGAGTCTCTTAATTGTGGCAAGATTAAAGTGTTAAACTGTGCTCCCTGATGGCGCTCATCAAACATTGATCCAAGCGGCGTCTGCGGTCGGGAGACATTCGCAACACTACATGATTTAAAACGATCCGACTCCGCTCCCAACGGTCCTGCTCTGTATTATCTCGGTAACCCCCCCGTCCCCCCTCCCGCACCACCTCTTACAGCCAATGTCTGCAGACTTTGCCGAGCTGTCATCTTTCCTGTCTCGAGCAAACTGGAACACTCATACTGCCAGGTGTGCTCACTGAGCTTTCACGGAGAAAAGACAACCCGAGGAAAAAAAGGCAGGTGACATTTGCCTCGGTGAATCGGTCAAAATAGCTTCTGGAGGGGAAAAAAAATGGTGGAGGTTGGAGGATTGACCTAACAAACTGCATTTGGGTGAGGGTGGCGTTCACTCAGCAGCATTCCTTTGAGTGGCGCGGCCTCTTCGTCCTCGCCGCATCTTCCCTTTCGTGTCAGCAGCCACCTTTGCAAAGTCGCGAAAATGGTGCCTCCCCGGTTGTTTCATCTGCGCCCGTTGCACCCGCGCAAACCCTCAGCTCCGTCATCGAAGGGCGCATACGCGAGCAGTCCAAAACATCCAAATCGCAGCGTGAGTCGATTTGAAGCTGCAGCCCGCCGCTGAGCCCGCTCAAACGCTCGCATGCATCTTGCGAGAGACATAAAAGCAGCCGCTTTCTTTAATTTGCGGTTTCGTCCTCGAGGTTGTGCAAAGATAATCGAGTTTGATCAAATGATGTCGACTTCGCAGACTTTTCAGGTGTTCTCGGCTGCTGCTGTTTGGCCTTGTTAATTAATGTGTGCACTTCAAGGGTTGCAAAAAGTAATTCGTCATGATTTTTTTTGGGTGGGTGGGTGGGGGGGGACAGATGCTCTTCATTGAGGGTTTACTTTGTTAGCCAATGACCTGATCCAATTAGTCACGTCAACAATGGATGCACAACCACCACCGCTTGGCCTCGAAGGAGGGAGACGCCGCTAACGAGAAAACGTAGTCGGCACTGTGGCCATTTCATTCTCATGATGAAGCCACCACGAGTTGTCCTGACCTAACTCTCACCTCGTCTCAGTCAGTAAATAAACAAAACGCAGCAGTCAAGCTGCCAGTCCTGGAACTTTTCTGACACTCATTTCGTGAGCCTCAATTTCATCTGTCGAGTACCCATTACTTCAGTTTGAATAATTGTACTTCCAAGATAAGAGCGAATATTGATTTATTTATTTTTTGACTTTGGTACCATCTTTTTTTTTTTTGCCCTTCACATTAAAACTGACACCCCTGTCTCAACTTTGCAATGCGTTCGATCGTAATCAAATTCAACTACATGTATGCTGCGTCGCGACGAATTGCATTCGCGCTCCTATCCTGTCCTTCGCGTCGTCTTTAATGGGAAAAGTGTCGCCGCCTGTAAAAAGTTGCAGCCCTCAGGGAACGCGGTGGGTAACGAGTGAGGCGCCGACTCCACCGAGAAGTTTCTTGTCTTGTTAATTGGACGTGCTGCTCCACTAAACACACACGGTTTGCGCACACACACACAGCTGCGACTCTCCACCGCCTTATATTTAGTTGAGAGACCAACTTGTCACTTTTTTTCCTCTCACTTAACCTTGCGTGCACTCACTTCCTCGCAACTCACTGTTGCCGCATTCAAGAGGAGTCTCAGGGGAAGGCTTAGCTCTTCACCCTCCTCATCCTTTTATTCCCCGTCTTTCCTTATCGGCACCTCAATAGAGCAGCAGACTGTTGCCCAAGTGTTTGCGAGTCCGAGAATTAAGTCTGCTCTGCTCGCTTGTCTCCGCTTTTTTCTCGCCGAGGGTGATTGTGACGGCACTTGAGGTGTTTACGTGCAAATGGATGAGCACAGCGTCGAGCGCACTTGCTCGTCCACGTGGGATTTAATGATGGTTACTCTTCACTCTTCATGCTTACTGCCCCCCCCCCTTTCAAAATGTCTCTTCAGTGATGCGTTTGTTGACCAAGTCGTGATAGATCGATACATCAAACCGGGGTCAAGCTAAGTGTCACTGCACCCTCCATTATTTTTACCCTAACACTTGCTTGAATGAAGACGTACTACCTGGCCAAGCCTTGTTTGTCAACACGGTTATTGAATGTTCAGCAGGAACAGGCGCTGGGTGTGAGTGGTTGTTTTGCTTTACGTGAAAAATGTGGGTCCCTGAATTTAGCCGTAATGAAAGCGGCTGCCGTTTTGCGGGAGTGACGTTCGCCGGGCTGGTTGTTGCACACAAGGGAGTCAAGAAAATGACTGTGCAGTGATCCCTCGCTACTTCGCGATTCACTGATTGCGGATTCTGTGCATCGCGGATTTTTCCAAAGTACTGGATTCACAAAAAAAAGGCTGAATGACTGTGAGGTTTTGTACTACATGTCTGTACTGTATATGCAGCGGGCACTCATCCAAGGCGCATGATTGGTTCCTGGTGTGACATCGACCAATGACAGCACCGAATGAATTCATCCTGTGAGCTGATTGGCTGCGCATCATTGCAGCCCCGCCCAGCACCTTGAGTCTCCCTACTTTGCAGTTTTTCACTTCGCAGCAGGGTGTCGGTCGCCATTAACCGCAACAAGTGAGGGATCACTGTAATCATTCTTCTGATATGGATTATGAATATGCATTTATCCAACTTGATGTCTCTTTTAACATTTTAACGACAAAGGTTTCTTCAGAATCGCTGACGTCAATTAGCTTTCTTTCCTTTTTTTAAATACCGCCCACGCCTGCAATTTGTGGAAAATGGTTGCCATGGTGAATGCTTCGCTTTATCTGCAATTTGGCTTCTCCTGAAATTGGTGTGTTGTCGACATTTCTTTGAATGAGAATGGAGGAAAGTTCCTCAATATGATGAATCATTATTAATGGCCAGAGCGTTGCATTTCGCTCACCTACTTTAGCCGACTCTTGTTTTGTTCTTCAGATGGCGATGCAGTTGAGACAATCCAAAGCGCCTCTGTTGATTTCAGACAAGTGGTGCGCTTTGCCCCATTTTCTCACCAACATGACATTTAATCAACAATTAGTTCCACTTTTTTATTGATCAAATTGTCACGGGTAATAAACATTTTTTAGATTTTGCACCGGCCCTCCGAGGGAAGCTGTAACTCCGAAATGGCCCGCGACAAAAAATGAGTTTGACACCCCTGCTCTATATAAATAAAGCTGTATTGGATTTAGCGTGGCTCCATCTAGTGGATGCGTAATGCAACTGCAGCCTTTATTGTGGCTTCTATCCTATGTGCCTTATAATGCGGTGCGCCCTATATATGAAAAGTCTCATAATAGGCCATTCATTGAAGGTGTGCCTTATACAGTCAAACCTCGGTTTTCGAACGTCTCGGTTCTCGACCAATTCGGTTTTCGACCAAAAATTTCGAGTTTTTTATGCCTCGGATTACGAACAAATTTCGATTTTCGAACAAACTGAGCGCACTTGAATGCACCACTTGACTCCTCTCGCCTTCCTTACACGGGGAAATGACGCTTCCTCGGGTAGACGAGCGTGGTTTCGGTTTTCGAACGATTCGGTTTTCGAACAGCTTTCTGGAACGGGTTATGGACAAAAACCGAGGTTTGACTGTACTCCGAAGCGCCACATAGTGCGGAAAATACGGTAATTGCTCTTTTTAAACGGTATACATGAGTCTGGGAATGTTCTGAACGCTTGCTTTGTCACCAGCGTCATATTGAGATGAATAATGTCGTGGAGGCCTGTGTCGGGGTACCTCAACTACCCAAATCTTACGCTATGTTCGTGTTTCTGTAGAAGACACACTCGGAACAACGGACACAATTCTTCTGAACAGTCAATGAATTGGCCCTGTGTCGTAGTTGACATTGATTTATCGACATGCTTTTTTTTTCCCCCCCAACAGGCGGAAGGGGAAGACAATTTGAAAAAGGTCCAGCTGATGGAATTGGCCATTCTCAACGGGACCTACCGAGACAACAACATCAAAGCGCGTGAGTGAACTACGATTAACACCACTAATGTACATTGCCCATTTCATCATAGGACACCCGTATTTGTTTTTTTTTTTCCCCCTGCATGCTACACATTTAATTAAGACCATTTACTCAATTAGCTTCTTATGAATTAACAGCCTTCACCGCCATGGAATCAGTGTTTAGTCAGATGGCCTGTGTACATGTGTGTGTCCATGAGCACACCCCTCTTCAAGCTGACCAAATAATCTGTGTTGACCTACTCCACCACGAGTAGCCGGAGAACCTCCATTTTGTCCTCCGCGCTCCTTTCCCCTCCATCCACCCTTTCTCCGTCCACCCTTTTTTCCCTCCAGCCAAGGTCGCTCGGTGATCCACTTGCTCTTAACTTTGCAGCGCACCGCTGCAGCTCACTGCGCTCAAGCTCTGCATGTCGCCATCTAGTTGACACATCTGCTCACCGAAGAAGCATCCATGGATCATATAACCGCGCTAACAACCTAAAAAAAACGCGCTCTTGGCATTCGGCTTTTAATGTGTTCAATGTCACTGCGATCGCAACCGCTGCGGAAATGGTGATTCGCAAATATCGCTTTGAATGGGATGGGGGCAATCCGACATCTTTTGTCGTTGCTACGTGGATGTAGATGGACATCCCTCCTGGTTGAGTCAACAGCTTCGACGCCCGTCGCAGCCAACGAGTGTACTTCATCTTGTTGCCTCAACAAGCAATTTCACACCATTGACAGATCCATCAGTTCAACAATTAGTGTTCCCATCCCAAATAGAAACACTGATGATATCTGTTTAATTTGATTGACTTGCCTGTGGGATGCTTCTGAAGCACATGCAAACTCTTGAAATGTTGTGTTTGCTAGCATTTTTTTTTTTTTTTAGGGATGCAACAATTCACTCCAGCCAAATTTAACAGACAAATTTGGACAGTTTGTGTTTGTATGTGTCACAAAACAATGGTCACTTTTGTGATTGCATGTATCGGATTGGATGCATCCCGAATCAATAGCCAGCCTTAAAAATGAACGGTGTCAAACTCAAGTTACGGGGGGCCGGATGAGGCCAGCCACATCATTTTGGGGGCTTTGTTACAGAAATCTTGACCAAAATTGTCTTCACTTTTATTCATGTTGGCTATTTTGCAAGCAGATGACACCAATAGTTTCACAGCCACAATTCATTCGGCCTTCCGAAGGAAAACATAATTACAAAGTCCACGGCCAAAATGAGTTTGACACCCCAAGATGGTGAACATTTCTTGCAAGAGTTTGGATGTAATGATCATTCAATTCCGGTAATGGTCTTGGCGTGTTGGTGTGTCACCTCTGCTGAGTTACCGATTCAATTTGGGTCCACCACGCGCGCGTGTTGTGTGTGTTGTTCACGTCACTTCTCATGCTATTTGCAGTCAATGTTTGAGCCGCTGCTGCCCGAGGGATTTTTTTGTATGCTTTGCACTGTGGGGACGACGACAGCAAGCTTTGTTTCGGTGTGAGGGGTTATTTTGTTTTGCTTTGTGGTCCACCACCATGATCATTGCATGGACTAATTTTACCTTTTGCCCCCCTCCCCCCC